TCACTTTTTTACCTCTCGTTCTTTTTCAACAATTCAAGTTTTTTCTCAATCTCTATTTTTTGATAATGGCTTTGAGTCAATTCGTTCCTGATATTCGCATTGGATATTTATATACATATTGGGGGCCTTTGGTGAGTACTAGACACTTCTATATCAACATCTTGTTGCGATCAAATTATGAAAAATTAATAAAATAACCTTTTGCTAATTTACAAAACTTTTTTTTTGTTTCTCTTTTGTATAGTCAAATAACAATCATAAAATTTCTAGTGTTTCGTGCTTCTGGTTACTATATCCAGAGAGGCAATAGATGATTGGAGGAGGCATAAAAGGGATCAGGAGGTTAACAATCAAAAATGCAAACGCCTATTGAATGATAGAGATAAACCTTTCGAGATAGTAGCATCGCATAAATTAAAGGTAAGTTTTTATCAGAAAAGCATTCGACTGTTTTGATGTGTATTTCTTATGACTTGATATTGGATTTCAGTAAGTATTCTCTGACGAATATTTTTTCATTCTTAAGGTGGGAGATTTGATAATTGTTGACAAAGATGAGCGTGTGCCTGCTGATCTGGTTTTGCTCCGAACTTCTGAAAGCAGTGGATCAGTTTTTGTTAGGACAGATCAGTTGGATGGTGAAACAGATTGGAAATTGAGGCTGGCTGTTCCAGCGACCCAAAAACTTGCTTCCGATAGACAACTTTTTGAAATTAAAGCGAGTATATATGCAGAGAAACCGCAGAAAGATATACATTCTTTCATTGGAACATTCAGCAGGGTAAGTTGAGGAATGATTCTCTGATGCATTTTCGTTACTTTTCTCCTAACTGTTGTCAGAACTTAAATCAAAGAATTTGTTATGAATTTACAAATTTTAGTAGGTTGAGAAAAAACTTTTGTGTATTCAATTCTAAGACTATACTGATTTAATTTTCTGCTACCAAGACTTTCTAACAAAGAAATTTATTTTGCATAAACTAAAACATTTGGGGTTAGGGGTATTCACTTTCGTTATACTTGCATATATATTACATTTTTATTATTAACTTTTTATTTAGTTTATCTTCATTATTGTTATTATCTATATACATATTTGAATTTTATTAATATTTTTGGCACTGTGGAAATTTAAATTGTTAATTAGTTATTATGTCTTGTAAGATTAGGATGTATCCTATAATAAAGATTACTACTACTATCTTCACGAATAAATAAAAAATAATATAAGTTGAAAAACATAACTATTTGTAAAATAAATGCGATAAGGCTATCCAAATTGAAGAAGGTATAATTATTAAGCTGCTATATCAGAAATGCCACTAATATTCATTTGTATAAAGAACAAAAATCAGTGTCACTATTCTTTGGATTTGACGTTTTGCTGACGTGTGTGGCTAGTTTCTATTATTATTACTCTTTATTAGCAAATAATGCTCTTCATAGTACAGTCAGTCACTTATAAAATACAAAAAAATATATATAAAAATAGAGACAAGTCATATTTTTAAAACAAGAAACTAGAAAACAAGACGAATTATTGATGACTATTGAAATAGATTCACTACATTTTCTTTTGAATGAATTTAATGAATCACAGCTTTTTATATGACTTGGCAAATTATTAAATGCAATCAGAACAGAACTATACAAAGAGTCACAACCTATTTGAAAAATAAAGGCAATAATATTGAAATATTTAATTACAGTATGGTCAAATTGGATTCAAACAATTAGAACTAATTCATGGTGTAATGAATAAGGCAGTTCAATTCGGTCTCTTTAGAGCATGTCTCATTAGGGTGTTTCTTTCAATGGAGGGGTAACTTCTATGAGCAACTAGATGGCATGGCGATGAGAAGTTCACTTAACCCAGTGATAGCCAACTTCTTTATGAAATGTTTTGAAGAGAAAGCAATCGACACCTTTGAATCAAAATCGACCTTGTGCCTACGTTACGTGGGTGACATCATCGTCATCTGGAAACATGGAAGGGACGCTCTAATCCTGTTCCTAAACCATTGAAACGGTCAACACTTCAGCATCAAGTTTACCATGGAGACTGAACAGGGTCAACAAATAGCATTTCTAGATGTACTCATCGAACGACAAAGTGTGCCGAAAACTTACTCACACGGATAGACACCTGCACGCACTATCAAACCACCATACTAGTCAAAAGAGAGGAGCCGTCTCTTCTCTAGCTGAACAGCCTTGAAGAATATGTGAACCAGAGCATCTCGTGAAATAACTGGAACGTCTTCAAGTGACCTTGAGATCAAATGGATACAGTGTCCCATGAAACAGAAGAATTCCACGGTTCAAAAAGGGGAGGGGGCTAGGATGGTTGAACCTGCGTATCTACCATATATACCTAGGGTCACAAACAGAATTGTAAAACTCTTGGGAGAACACAACATTAAAATGGTTTTCAAACCCACCAAGGAAATACAACAAAGTCTCAGGTCGGCTAAAGACAAAAGAGACCTACTATCAGTAACAGGGGTGTAACGCATACCGTGCCCTTGTGAGAAGGTAATCATCGAAACCACGAAAAAATCCATTGAAACAAGACTGAAGGAGCATGAAAGAAACTGCAGACTAGGCCAAATGTACAAGTTGGCTGTGGCAGAACACCCACTTAATGAAGGAAACCACAGTATTCTGTTTGAAAACGCGAAAGTCATTGCCCCTAACCAGGGATATAAAATCGATTGATACGGGAGGCATCAGAGATCTACAAACACGCCGATAGTTTCAACAGAAAAGAATCTGTGAACAGAACCTGTGAACCTCAACCGAATGTGGAATCCCATTCTAAGGAGTTCAAGAATAGCAACCAGCATGACGGTAGGTAGAAAAGGATCGATAAATGTTATTGACAATTTACCTAATCCAGGTACAGGTATCAGCACACCAAACTACCTTAATCAACATGAATACGTCTTACGCAGCCATAATATCCGATCATAAGAGATTACTCAGGATGTATAAACCTCTGAAAAAACTAGCCACTCATGCCAGCGAAACGTCGACGGCCTTCAAACCCGGAAAATAGTGACACTGAAAACCCCTTCCGCGAAAGCCTTAACCAATTTAGCAAAGAAGAAAAATTCTTGGTTAATGCAAACTTTCAAATATTTAGTTCAATGTATCAACATTTACACACAAATACTGATGAGAAATGTCTCCATCTGGTATATAGAAGAGATGCCCAACATACTCACCTACTTCAATTTTTTTTTTCTTCGGCTCAAAGAAGTAACTGTCCGTAACTCTAAATATAAGTTCTTTGATTGACGACTTGTTTATTTTGTGGAAATTTATGTTCACCAAGGATACACTATACAAACACACTTTTGTCTATTTTCCACGATAGTTCTATATTTCTGACTAGTTTCGGTCATTACCCATTTTCAAAAGAAACTAGTCACAAATCTAGAACTATCATGGAAAATGGACAAAAGTGTGTTTTTATTACACCGTTTTGTAACTAAAACTAGTCACAAATATAAAACTATCGTTCATTCTGGTCAAGGTAATTTCAAACATTGATAGTTCAAAACAAAAATCACTTCTTGGACGGTCCGATTTATTGGTTTGTCCTTTCTTATAGAAATCTTAAGTTGGTACAGTCAAGAATGTTTTGAAAACCTATATAATCAAAGTATACTTTTACATAGTCCTCAATTATAAAATCACTTGAATTCTGGGTGATGTTTTTCAAGTCAAGTCAAACATTCAAGATGGCGTCGTGTTGAGACACAAGTTCAGTTCTTGCCAATAAAATCGAAGTATCTTCCTGCAAAAAAAGTGTCACCAATAAAGGTATGTTTGTTAAGTGCGAAGAAGTCTTCCACCCAAGTTGTTTTAAACAGTCTTCTCGAGGAAACAATGTAATTTGCGAGCATACAACAACTACTGACAACGAGAACCAAACCTGTAAATCAAGTAAGGAGTATAGCCTTGAAAGAGAAAATGATCTTCTCAAATCGATTGTAGTGGCCCAAATATGAACGAAGTAATTGTGGGACATCTGGCAGGCTGAAACAGTAATGCCAGCTCCACCACAAAAACTTTGTCTGATATCAACTATTTACAAATAGAAGAAAGTGGAATAAAAACTGACTCAGCTGATATCATCTCCACAGTTTAAAAAAAGGGAATTCCATAAGGAACTCCCAACGAATTAAAGAAAATGACGTGTCAAGGACATTACTGGAAGTGACTACGAGAAATAAATTGAATGATATTATCCATCTGGTGGATAATTCACGACAAACAACGTCCACCTCGATTAAATCGGCTACATCTAGGGACAATACATGGAAAACCATCACTCCCCGTAAACGAAAACCTGCCAAAGTGATTGTTGGTAACAATAATTCCAATTCTGGAAATGCTGGAGCAGTAAAAGGAGTGCCTATATGCCTCATTCAAGTTAAAAATATATGATCATAACTTCAACAAAGCGATGGATCCAACCTTATGGCCTGAAAATGCATGCATCAGCCGTTTTTTATACCTCAGAGGAATGGAACGGCAAGACAAGACCTAACAAAAGTTTTTGATCCAAAGAATATTTTTTAATAGAGTGATATAAAAATTGTTATAATCTCATTTTTATTAGTAGTAACTATAATAATGGATGTATTTACATATTTACATTTTTATAACAAATTGACATTGAAATTTATAAAAGACTACTTTATTTCCTGAATATAGGAACTCGCTTGAAAGAAAAACAAAATTTAAATCAGAAACTGCGTTAATCTGACCTGGAGTTTTTCTATTCTTTCAAAACTACAATTATAATTCTCTGCCAAACAATGGTGATTTTATTTGGGATCATATCTACCGGTTTCAAATATTGGACATCGATTGTTGCAGTTCAAGTTCTTTTGCATATTCTGACATTTTGAAACCGATTGGATACATTTTTATAGAACTTCATTCATCTGAATAGAGCAAGATTTAATATTTCCTTTTTTTTATATCAGATTCAGTATCTTTTGCTTCTGAAACGGAAGCAGACCAACACTTGCAGGTATCAGACAAAGATGTGATGTATCAGGCTTCCAGTCCAGATGAGGTTGCCCTCGTGCAGTGGACGCAAGAGGTGGGTTTGGCCCTCAGCCACAGAGATTTGTCTTCCATGCAACTAAGAGGGCCTGACGGCAGGCTGTTGAATTACGCTATACTGCAAATATTTCCATTCACCAGTGAAACTAAACGGATGGGAATCATTGTTAAGGTGAGGCTTGAGTTGCCTTGTAGTCCCCATTTCTTCAGTCTTTTCCATCCTACTCTTCCAGATCCACACAGCTGCTATGCTTCCAGATTTACAGGTTTGCCACAGATCCCATCCTCTATCCTAGTTTCTGACCTTCAGAGCTTTTTCTTTCCTTGATACCTTTTTTTATTCAAGCTTTCGACAGCTGGTCGTGCTGTCATCCTCTAGGCCCTACTCTATCTGACTCAGATAGGATGACAGCACGACCAGCTGAGCTTTGAGAAATTGGCACGATTTTTTTATTTTCAGGATTTGCACACTGGAGAGATATTTTTTTATTTGAAAGGAGCAGATGTCGTTATGTGCGCAATCGTTCAGTACACGGATTGGTTGGAAGAGGAAGTTGGTAATATGGCAAGAGATGGTTTGAGAACTCTAGTGGTAGCGAAGAAGAATCTAACAGAGGAGCAATATTTTGATTTCGAAGTAAGTTAATGAACACATTTTTTTAGCAGATATGCAATGTTGTGGATTTTCTTTCAAATCTCATCAGGTTTCTATAGAATGAAATATGAAATTACATTGATTATTTCCTTCATTCCAATAAAATGATGAAAAAATTGAAGACAAGGTCACCAAAACAGAGTTTCACATCAATAAAACATTTCATTCCAACAGCAATAAAACGGACAGCCATGAAATTAACACGTAGGTATGATTATTCCTGAATCATATGTTTGTTCATCCACATATTCCAAAATTTCTATTTTGGCTAATCCCATGCAACTTGGTGACTCCAATATACCACAAAATGTAAAAGAGCCAAAAAATATTGCAGAATTCAAATATAATTTGATTTTGTGTTATAAATAAGAACATATTTTTACTGTATTAAATTTTATATATATTTATACTCACATTTATTATATATGTTTGTACTTACATTTATGATAATTTATATGTATTGTAAGATAGGTATGTTAACTATTTTATTTCTTGTAAATTAGGATTGTAAGTAAGTAGCTTTATTCATCATTAAAACATATACACAATGAGCCTATAATTGTCAACAAGATTTGATCTTCAGACAATAAAATATACTTTTTATTATTATTATTATGA